AATATAACATACTTGATGCTAATGTATGCAAATGAGAATTGTGTAAACTTGAAAAGGCTGAAATTAACATCCATTAAAATCAATAAAGTTTCATTCTCAGTACAAAGTTAGAAGTACAGTAAAACAGTGTGTGGGCTTTTGGGAAGCCAAATCATCTATATGTTCCTTAAGAAAAAGACCACTCTGAATTCTTGAGCTCATGCTCATAAAATATAAAAATACTGAGGAAAAAGAAATCATGACCAGAAAGTTTTTGAATCAGAAAAGCAGAGCTCAATCAAAAATCTTTCCAGGAACGAGAAGAAATAACAGGATAAGTCAAAACACTCAGACTAAAGAATATGCAAGTGTTGGCTTTGTCTTCAGTGTTTTCCTGAGGCCAAAGTCAGCTTTACTGAAGACCTAAGTGGTATCAGAGGCCTTCCTTGAATCCTAGAACACGGAAAGTTCTTTGGAAAAGAAACATAACATCCGGGTGTGGTGGCCCACGCCTGTAATCCCAGCACTAAGGAGGCTGAGGCAGGAGGATCCCTGTGAGTTCGAGACCAGCCTGGGCCACATAGTGAGTTCCAGGCCAGTCTCAACTACATAGTGAGACCCTGTCTCAAAAAAAAAGAAACATACCTTTTGAGAAAACCTAGACTGACTGAAATATATTTGTGACAATAATAGAAAAAAAATTATTTTGTAGTAAAACTAAAAAACCCATTGCTATAATAGATTTTCAATGTTTAAAATTCTCAGCCTTTAGAAGTTTTTATAACCTTGACAATATACATTTCACAAAGTGAGATAGGAAAACAAAGGACAACTCTTTCCCTTTTCCTTTGACAGCCAGAGGGGAAGGAGATCTCATTGACAGCCATTACTCTCTTCACCAGGGGTGTGTGTGTGTGTGGGTGTGTGTCCCAGTATGACTAGCTCTTGCATCTTCCTGCCAGCTCTGCGCAAGAGGCCCCTCTGTTGGCCTCTAGGCCCTGCTCATCCTTCCAGGCCTGGCCGGAGATGGCAGCCACGACACCCTTCCCTGGATCAGGCTGCTCAGGTGCTATTGTGGCAAACATCAAGAAGGACCAGCCCTTCAGCTTCTACCCATCATTTCCTGGACACAAAAAGAGCTGCCAGCCAAGTAGCTGCATCTCCCTGTTTAGCCTCATTGTCCCACAAGAGCTGAGGCTGCCCTGAATGCCCCATGACCACTCAAGAGATACTTGCTTTGGCTAAGTGCGGACCTATCCCAGAAAACTGACACACTGTCACTACAAGTGAACCTGCTCCCTTTGCCACTACTTCAAAAAGTCCCCAAATAGGTCCATGAGATGTAGGAGACTGCACATGTGGAGGCTGGCCTTTCTCTCTATATAAAGCAGCATTCTCTCATCTTCCTCCAGTCCGTCCAGGAGGGTGGTTTCCTGTGCCCTACCCTCCTGTGCTATAGCGTCCCCAGTAAAAGCCTCCCTTGGGTGGCTACTCCAGTTGCCTACTCATCATTTTTATCCGAGGTAAAGTGGGCTGAGCAGGTTGCATTAAGGGCTGCTGATAACACTGAGAGCACTGAAGCAGTGCAAAGCCACGGGAAGCGGAGATCTGTGGAAATCAGCAGAGATCTGCAGAAGAGCCCTGGAGAGGCAATGGAAGCTTCTGGAAGAGCTCCAGAAAGGTGCCAGGGGAACTACAAGTTCCAGCTGGTGAGGAGCTGACAGGTGGCTGGGAGCTGACAGAAGCTGCTAACACTTAAAGCTCGGTGCTGTAACAAGGACTAAGAGCTAAGCGACTGATGCTCAAAGCCCAGAGCTAATATCAAGAGGGCCTCACTTTGCCAGTTTGTGATTTCTATCTGAACTGAGCAAAGAACCTCTACTTAGTGGCAACAGGACACTACATCATGTAACACAGATTAAATGAACTACAAATGCTTGAAAGCAAAGTGCTTGCAGTATACTACTTACAGTGGCATTCACCTAAAATACAAATTCTCAACCAATGGGTGGTAAGTGGCAGCGCAAAGAAATCATCAGAAATGTATTTCTCAGGCAGGGGATGTAGCTCAGTGGTTCCATCACCTGCCCCACAAGCACAACGTCCTGAGTTCGATCCCCTATACCAGAAAATAAAAATTAATAAAATAAAACATATTTCTCCCAAATCTGTTTCTTTTAAACAGTATGTCCTCAGGCTGAACTTTCTCTTTAAACATCTGACAAAATTTGAAAAGCATCAGTTTCAAATGTCCAAAAAGTAATCTCATAATCATAGTTCAGTAGTTTTCTTTGATGCAAAAAACCCAAAGAAAGCAATGTTAAGAGACCATAAATACCACAAAATGGACTATAAGTCACACTCCCAAAGCCTCCTGTCAGTCTCCTGGAATTTATTTTTCTCCATGAATTCTTCTTTATTCCAACATTTATTATAGTCATGGTTTGATGGGTTCTCCTATACATTTGTAGAGCACCTTATTCAACTTCCTTAACTTCTTCAAGTCTTAATTTCATCATTGGTAACAGAAAAATGCCTACCACTATGACCTTTCTTTCCTGGGCTTGAAAATAACTTGTTTTCTAAAACATGCACTACTCGTCCCTGAATATCTGGGAATTTACCAGTTTGATGGCAACTATTTTTCAATGATTTGTCCTCCGCTGCAGCTTACTGTGGATTTTGACCTTGGCTCTTCAAAAGATACAAAGGACAAGTCTACCATTTCTTCTGTCTCATTCTCCTTCATTTCCTGCCTTTTATGCATAGAAACAAAAAGATAATGCTCTAAACACAATCATCTTTACTAACAATATGACCCGTCCTATTTTCCTTTATCCCATAAAGTGTTACTAATCTAAAATTTTCTGATCATTTCATCTTCACTTTTAAAATTTTTTAAAAAATAAGTACTCTAAGATTTATCCTTCCTATCAGCAGTTGACACACGCCTATATCCACGCCCCGGACCATCCCTGTCCTGTCCCTCATCACTTGTGATCTATCAGAAACACCTCTGACCTGCATTCCGCATCTCCGGGGCTTGGACTCTGCTTCTCCTGCTAAAAAAATTTAGAAAAATCTTCATAACCAGGGATTTTAAATTGAGCTATCAGCATCATTTTGGCAGCTTTTTGTTAAAGCAGAATCTTGAAGATTAGATGGATAAGGAAGCACACAAATTTATTTTATTTTATGGGAAGCTCTCATTGATGAGGCAAATGAAGACTTAAGTTTGGAACCATGGATACTTTCCTAGCTTGTAAAATGCATTACAGTGATAGTGTGAGAATTAAATTAAGCAATTTATGAGAAGGGGCTGTATAAATGAGAAAATCAAATATAAGATCACTTTAATATTTTTGTGGAGTTCAGAGTTAAGGTCATTTTTACTCATTTCTGTAGCAACCATTACACACAGAGGATTAGAAACAAGAATGTCAACATTGATGACTTTCTGTAATGTTCATAGTACAAAATCTGAGTGACCAGAAAACAACTTTGTTGTTTTTTGGTACTGGGAATGGAATTCAGACCCTCACGCTTGCCAGGTAAGTGCTGTGCTGCTGAGCTACATCCCCAGCCCCCAGAACACAGTTTTGAAAACACATAAAAGGGGTTGAGAACCAACTGACAAAATGTTTTTGCTGTATTTCAAAATAGAACACATAACAATTTTACCCTTTCTGACTTGTTGAATTACATTCAAACTTCATTGTGTGAATCTGCTTCTCAAAATGTCTTCTAGGAAACTACAGAAACACTGGCACAATTTGAGGCTAAACTAAAGAAAAATGAGCAAATATTGGTCTGAGCCCTTCCTGTACCTAAATTGTTTCCTGGAGCTGTATTAGCAGAGATACTGAGTCCCGTTTTAGGCATTTTATATTGCAGAGGAGATGGAGCTCTAATAGGCTGGAAAAATTACTGCAGGAAATGACTTCTGCCCTCCAGAGCATCTGAATCATTATAATTTCCAGGATAAAATACTCACTACAACTTTCAACTCTCCAGAGGGTTTAATCTACTTAAGCTAATGCAAGCAGAGGGGCTGGCAGAAAGGGACTATTACTCTAAAATGATTTTAATTGTCATTTTGAGGAGACCATGGACTTTACACTCAATTCATCATAGATGTTTAATTTTCCTCTTTCATCAGAATGAAACATTTAAAGCTTACTTTTCCACTCTTGGGAGAGGATGGGGAAATCACCTAATATGCTTATAGCCCTAATTCACAAGCTGATTCAGAGTTCAAACTCATTGACATTTGGCTATATCTGGATCCTTTTCCTCTCTGGTCTCTCAGACTTTTCTCCGAACACCTTCCACTCCGTACGGAACCACCACTCTTGTTTTTAGACAACCAGATTGCTTGAGGCCTTCACGCCACCGCCCAGGCTCTTCCCTCACCCAGGAAACTCCTTTAGCAAGTTCTGCTCTCACCTCAAAACTCAGCTTGAGCGTTCTTGCCCTTGGGAAGCACTGCCCTTCTTCTGGGAATCCTCACCATCCTATGTAACCTGTGCCTTGGCACTTGCTACACAACATGGTGAAAGTGATTTCCCTGTCTCCCCGACAGGATACGCTAAGATCCTCCACCGGGACCTCCTCCACAGTGCCTGACTTGACTTGAGGTCCACAGCACTTTGACCAGGGGCTGGCACTTAGTAGGTATCACACATACGTTGAAGGAATGAAAGTAATTGTTATGGTTTATGTCTTGACGTCCCCCACAAAGCCTCAGGCAGTTGTAGGTGGGCTTTTTCTGAGGAGGATGAATCTGGTGTGTGAAGCTAGGATTAAGGGTGTGTGATTACTAAACCATTACACCTGATTGGTTTGTCACCCCCTAATCCCTGTAGTCTGAACAAAAGGAGCAGAAAGACACTGTTAAAGCCCCGTGTTGCCCTTGCTGCCTTGTGTGCGCCATGTCGTTCCTGCTCTGCCAGGCCTGTTTGCCGTCCCAGCCTCGGAGCCAGCCGATTATGGACTGAAACCTCTACGAACTGAGCTAAATAAACCCTTTCCCCTTTAATTTTTGGTGCTGGATATTTTGTCTTAGCAATGAGAGAAAAGTAACACATGAATGAATATGATCTAAAGATGTTACATGAAATTTAAAATGACTGTACTATTTCTAAGTACTGCAGTAACTACATATTTTCTAATTTTTTGTGTGGCCAAAATTTTTCTTTTATGTGAGAAAAGTTGAAGTCCATTTCTCTGGTAATCAAGCAGAACATACAGGGAGTCACTCTGGATGATTTTGTTCTCTGAAGAGTCATTTGAATTGTTCTTGTAAGTCGAACAAATGTAAGCCAAGACTGTTTGCCAAGAGAGGACAGAGGAGAACAATTTCCTTTACTACCCCATATCCCAAGAAGGGGAGAGCTGGTTTACATAAGGATCGCCGTGCTTTAGGAGACCTTCCAGTGAGCCAGAGTATCACTGTAGAGTCCTCAGGGGAAAGGAAGTAAAAGTGTGCCTGAAACAATCCTTGAGGATACAAAGGTATGAGAATTGCTGCACTACCCAGAGCTGAGCTGAGGCACAACGGCAGTCCTGAGTCAGACACAGCAGATGCAGGACTCCACAACCCAGACTCAGGGATGTATGAGAACCAAAGTTGCTGGCCACTAAAACCAACAGTCTGGAGGCCAGGCCTTCTTTTGGCGTGGAGCTTTTCCGTGGAGGGCTTGTAGATCACCCTCATGTTTGCACTGGGTGTGTCTACACACCAGTGACAAAACACAATAGGCAGAGCCCATTCCTCTTTCTCCTACTTTCCTTCCTGTGACAGGATGTGGACTGTACCTTTTCCATGGTTTTGCAGGGTAGAGGCTGGAAAACCAAATGTAGGACTTGATTCCCAGGACTTTGGGGCAGTAGAAGTGGCTGAGATCCAGCTCTGGTGTATGCTTTATACAAGGAACATCTCTAAGGGGATTTTGCTTTAGCCTTTGTTCTCATAAAATGAAGAAATGTATTTGGTACAATCCTCCTTCCTACCCTACAGGTATTTGAGCTTCTGCCAGTATCTTACAATTAAGTGGCAACAAACCATTTCAGTATGGATAGAAAAACAAAAGCATCTAGGGCACTGCCAGCGTTGTGTAGCTCCTGTCGTCTTCACTTAAGTAAAACAAACCCCTGTGTGCTTCAGTGACTGCTAGATTATCTGTTACATGGAGCTAAGTCATTCTCAGCTGGCAGTCATAACTACCAGACAACCACAACCACAAGGGCTGCCTAGTCCCATGAGGGAGGTGGTCCTCCACAGGACTGCCACACTAACATGTGCCACAGCAGGACAACAGTGCTGTTTCAGCCAAAACACAGGGCATTGTAAGCATTAAGTAAGAATTTAAATGCCTGCTAAGTGTTAAAGTCCAGTTTTGCAGTGAAAGCCCCACTTCAAAAAGCAACTATGGACGATATTAATGATCAAGTGGGACGATTCTTCTACAACCTCCTCACCTCGGTACTCAATAAGGATGAAATATTTAACACAGTTTAATGTTATACACAAAAAGAGAAAAAGTAAATTTAATTTTTCAAATTGTATTCTAATTAGGTATTATGACTAACTCCCCCGCAAAAAGTGAAATATTTAAAAGGTCAAATGGAAACCAAATTGGTAACCATTTGACTCTGTAATTGGGAGTGGAAGGGAAGTGATACTAGTTATTGCATTTATATCTCCACACCATATATTATTTCCAACTTTTATTACCAGAATTTATCACTGTGAAAATGACCTTTGCCCCAAAGAAATCAATCTTTAAGGTGACAATTATGGAATGCATGTCCGTTTAAGCCTCAACGCTGCAGTATTTTCACCAATGAATAAATTAAGTTGTAAAAATTTTAAATGAATTAACACATGGCTAGAAGTTGGAGACTCAAAGATTCTTCTGTCTGAATCCAAATTCCCTTTTCTACCCAGCATGCTACACTTGTTTCCGTGTCCAAATGTTTCAGGATATATTGGTGTTCTTGATTCTGGTTGCCAAACAAAAATTTCTCTGACCATTTTTGTTAGGCAGTATTTGCAGAGAACATCTTAGAATAACCCTGACCCCATCTAAGTATTTTTTAGGAGTGATCTTAGCTTCTTACAACATCCAAGTAGGAATTCATGTTTGTGAAGACCATCTAGGACTGGTGTGCCCTGAAGAGTCCTATCCTTGGTAACTTTGAGGAAATGGTTTACATGAATTACTTTCAGTGCAATAAACCAGACATCCAGAAGGAACTTCATGACACCAAGAATAGGGTAGCTCATTAGGTTGTATCTCAAACAAGGAAATAAGACTAACATAAGCAAAGTGAATTCTTCAAAAGTAGTCTTCATAAATGTACAAGATATCCCCACAAGAAACAGAAAATTCAGGTTGCATTTAATGTCAGAGGAAATGAGTGTTTTGATTAAAAGGCTGATGTGAAATTTTGCCCATTCTGAGTCAAGAGGGCTGTCTGGAGTATTTCACTAGACTGCAGATTCTACATCTGTTTTTCATAGCTCTTTAGGCCTATGTAAGAAGTTGACCCTAGGTTATCCAAACTAGATCTTGAGTAGACTTCCATTATCATAGCTTAATAAGAAAAAAAGGCATACTTTTAAGAGAATGTGAAATTACTGGCTACACCCATAAAGTGTTAGAACATCAATCAACTCTCATTGGGAGAAATATCTGAATCATCAGGTTATTCAATAGCCAATACTAGGCCATTATTTTGATGTTATATATACATATGTAGCATACTTATATATGTATAAAATTGTCAAGCATAAAGTATTATGGATAGGAAAGTCTTCTGTTACCACCTCACTAAATGTGAAGACAGCTCCAATTTAATTCCAAGTTTTGCCATTAATATACAACATGATGCCTAGATTTTCATCACAAACACATGCTATATGCTTGGCTCCTTAACTCCACATCTTATCATTTTGTCAGATTTCTAGATTAATTATATCATGGTCAGAGTATGTTGTATATGATTTTAATCCTTTAACAATTATTGAGACTTGCTCTGTAGCCCCATATATCAACTTTTATAAATTTTCTATGTGAGCTTGAAAAAAATGTGTATTCAACAGTCACTGGGTAGTCAACTTTATTAGTGACATCTTCAATAACTTCCCTCACTTAAAAAGTTAGTGATCTGCCTTTTACTTCAAAAACTTGTGAATTAATAATTCCAGCTGTTGTAACTTACTGTTGAACTGATTATTATGATATGACCATCTTTAATAATGGCTTTTTACTTAATATATATCTTACCTGACATTAAGGCTTATTTGAATAGCTTTCACTTTGAAAATTGCATGGTGTATTTTCTATCCTTTTACTTTAATTTTCTTGTACATTTTTTACATGAATCCCTTGTAAATATTATATAAGTGACTTCTGAAAATCATGCCTGGCAGTCCTAATTGAAACACTTGATTTATCTGCATGTGTTTACTAATACCTCAGATTAAATTTGCTCTGATTTTACACTACTTGTCCTTTATGCTGTTTGTTATTTTCCTGCCTTGCCTTTTGATTTGTTTTTTGTACCTGTAAATTTTCCCCAGTTTGAGTTTTCGATTCTTTTAGCTGATAACCTAAAAATTGCAAAACACATATTACTGAAACCTAAAATGAATCAGTAACTTTATCCTTTTTTTTTTTTCATGGAAGAGCAAGCACATCAACCACTGACTCTTTTTCCTACATTGTCATTGTGTATGTTAATTTCATTGTCTGTTTCTTAAAATCCCTCATGACATTGTTTTATACTATTCATTCAGATTTATCCACATTTACTACTTTGTTCAAGTCTTAGTACATTTTCTGTGGCCACAACTGAGCCTCAGTTAATTTAGTTTATGATTCTGAAATCCAGAGCATGGTTCCAGCATTTGTAGGCATCTGGTGAGGGCCATGGTGGAAAGCATCATCATACGGTAACATGGAGCAAGAAAGCCAGAGAGTAAGAGCTTACTTTTATAACAAAGTCACTCCTGTGATAACCCATTAATCCACTGGTCCTCACAGCCGTGAATGGATTAAGCCATTCATGAGGGCAGCATGTTCATGACTCAATCACCTACTAGTCATTCCACCTCTTCATACCTCACAGCGGCAATTTAGTTTCAGTGTGAGGTATGGTGGACAGTTTCTCATTCCCTTCTGTTTTGTGTTCTTCCCACATGAAGTAAACGTCTGGGAAGTTCTTATTTTGTTGGTGGCAACTCTGTTTTGGCTATACTAAAATATCTTTATCCTATTTTTTTCTTGAAAAAATATTTTCACTAAATATGAAATTCTAAATCAACTTTTTCCCTTTAGCCTCTGAAATCATTGCACTATCTCGCTGTTTCAAACTGTCACTTCTTTAAATATAGTCTTCTTTACTCTTGCGCTTTTTATTTGCCTTTAACTCTTGCAGTTTCATTGCGTGTCAAGTATGGATTCACTTTTACTGAACCTATTTATAAGCTTCCTGAATTTGTGAACTGGTATCTTTCATCGTTCTAGAAGATTCTGTCAATTGTTCTTTTGTTTGGCTTCTGTTCCTGACCTGCTCTCTCTTTACAAAACTGCGGGTGCACTTTTAATCTTTGTTATTCTGTCTCTTAGAGCTTTTCATTCATGATTTTTATGTGTGATGGTTAATATTGGTTGTCAACTTCATTAAATCGAGAGAGGCCTACAGTACACTTGTAGGTATGTCTGAGGGTGTTTCCAGAGCTGTCTGGCATATGGGTTGGAGAACCGAGTGGAGCAGGTCTGCTGTAGATACAGATGGCGCCATCCAATAGGCAGGTTGTCTGGCTACAATGGAAAATCAGTAGGGACAAACTCTTGAACATAGGCATGCTAGACTTCTGAGTGGATATGGCTTGTGCTGGTGCTATCACTCACAGTTCTCAGACTTCAGATTCTTCAGCCTTTCCATCTGAATGTGGACCAGTGACAGGGAATCAGACCTTCAGCCTCAGACAAAAGCTGCATCACTGGCTCCTCTTGTTCTTGGACTGAGCAGCTACTGGTTTCCTCAGTTCTCCAGCCTACCGAGGGCCAGTGCAGACTAGTGAACCTCTCTGCTTGTGTAAGCTGATGTGAGAGACTGAGAGGTTGAGAGATAGACAGATAGACAGACAGAAAGACAGACAGAGGCAGATTTTTCTGTTTGCTCTATTCCTCTAGAGTATGCAAAACTTTTTGTCCCTGGTGTACTCTGAGTAATTTCTATGATCTAACTTTCTGTTATCTCCCTCTTTTAGCTGTGTCTAATTTGAATTTTTAATTTTAAATATTGTATTTTTTATTTCTAGAAGCCCTATTTGGCTCTTTTCCAAGTCAGCTGCTGTCTCTGGGGGCAGAGCAACTCCTTGTTAAGGGGGTGTCCAATGCAGCACCCCTTGTTCCTACATCCCAGATAACAGTTGCATCTGATCATGACACCCACAGTGTCTCTCAACATTGCCAAATGTCTTGCAGAAGCAAGACTACACCCCTGTTGAGAGATGCTGGTTAAAATATCATGACTGTAAGAAAACAAATGTAATCACCAGCTGTGCTACACGGCTACAACTAAGTTAAATTAGTTATACCAGTTTCTGTCAGCACTGAGATTTCCAATAAGACAGTCACACACCACATGCGGGCAATGAGCAACTGAAATATGGCTACTCCATACTGAGAAATGGTACTAAGTGTAAAATATGCCTGTATTTTGAAGAGTTGGTATTAAAAAAAAAGAAAAGAAAAGGAAGTGTCTCAATAATTTTTAAGAAAGCTACTTGGGGTATAATGAGTAGGTGAAATACAGTTTTAAAATAAATTTCATCTCTTAAATTACAGCCCCCCCAAAATTGGCTCACTTTTGAGATCATAACTCTCCATGAGGCTTCCGAGATTTTTCTGTTTCTTTAAACCAATTATTTCTATTCCAATGCTTTATTCTCAGTGTTTCAAATGGTTCTTTTCTGACTGTCAGTGTATCCTTGTGTTGCTCTTTATCACTCTCCTGCACATCCATTTCTTTCATGCGCCCAGGAGCTTTCCCAGTGGGACGATGAGATGTGGCGGCATCCATCATACGTAGAAAGTCATAAGCAGGAAGAGGAGGTTTCCATTCCTGAGCAGATAAAACAGCTGGAAGACACAACCAAGGGTTAATGATTAACATCTATAAAATTATCACATGAATATACCAGTAATGTTTTATTTTAAAATACATATTTGCAGGCATAATTATTTTAATTTTACTTCTCTAAGCAAGGCTAGGTATTTTCAGTAGATATATTTGTCCCAACTCTCCACAAGGAGTGTAATCATTACGTTCTGCAAACATGTACCAATAAAAATCTTAAACTTTTATCATTATACCAATTTTTTTACAAGTTATTTTCTACATAGAGATAAATATTGATGGGGGAAATGGATCTATCATTTTATTGCCAGTTAACTCTATTAACTTCTTAGTTTCTAAAATAACATTACATATAAACAGGTACAAGTTAGAATGAAAAGTCTCCTGTCTCCCTCCCTACTCCAATCTTAAAATATAACTATTTCTTATGAATCATTCCAGAAGATTAAACAATCTGGTATGCAATAAAATCTTCACATAATATTTTATGAGACTTTTTATTACATCAAATTTCACATTATTTGCCTAGTATAATAATGATCTATGTTGCCATGAGTTCACTTATTTAGATTATGGTTCATGTGGGCATGAACTATACATGTCTACTATTATCACAATTGTATATAAATGGCTAATATGCAAATAGAAGTTAATGGATACCACCCATACTTAAGTACAAATTTCTATATTTTCAGAAAAAATAGAGATTATAATGTCAGAGGTCAGGATCATAAATTCTGAGCAAGATCTTTATTCCTGTGTTTAAAAATTCTGGTTCTGTCCAAAATGGAAAGAAAGTAATTAACCTGTTTCTATTTACAGAAAATATGATCTTTTTAAAAAACCCTAAGGACTCCACCAAAAAACTCTTATAAAAATATACTCAGTAAAGTTGCAGGATAATAAATTGACATATCAATACAACTTTACATGCTACCTAAATCAACAGAAAAAAATCTTAACAGCATCAAAAAATAAAATAATTAGGAATAAATTTAGCTAGGGAAGCGAAAAATCTATATACTTGAAACTATAAGATATTTATGAAAGAAACTGAAGAAAAACTATCTCTGCTTATGGGATATAAAAATGTCTATATTATCCAAATCAATCTACAGATTCAAAGCAATAGTTATCAAAATTCCACTAACATTTTGACAGGGAAACAAAAATCCTAAAATTCATTTAACCAAAGTATTCTTTAATAAAAGAATGAAGCTATGTTACTTCAAAATATATTACATAGAACTATAGCAATCAAAACAACAGGTTAGTGGCATAAGGACACACAGTCCAACTGAACAAGAGACCAAAAGCAAATCCAGCAATTTAATCTTGACTCATCTTTAACAAAAGTACCCAAAACACACAAGAGAAAGGAAGATCTCTTCAATGTGGCAGTGGGTTCAATGCATATTCTAATAACATTTAGAAGAATAAAGTTAGACATTTACCACACTCCATCTACAAAAAAATGCCCGCCTGCCTTGCAAGTGTAAGGTCCCAAGTTTGATACCCGGTACCCCCCCCCCAAAAAAAATCAACTCAAAATACATTAAAGACTTAAAACTACTAAAAGAAAACACAAAGAGCTTCTCGAAATTGGTTTTTGTAATTTTTTGGTTTTTTAAAAATATGACCCCAGAAGCACAAGCAACAAAAACAAGGCTAGACAAAATAGGACTGTTTTTATCAAAGGCAAAAAAAAAAATCTCCTGCATAGCAAAAGTAACAGAGTGGACAAACTATAGAATGGGAGAAAATACATGTAAACCACATATACGATGGGTGAATATCCAACATATATAAGCAATTCAACAGCAAGAAAAAAATAACCCAACTAAAAAATGGGCAAAGGATCTGAACACTTTTCCACAATGAACTGTCATACCTTATGAAAAAAGCAAAAAGTAAGTGGTGGTAAGCATTTGGATAAAAGGGAACTCTTGTATATTGTGGAAAAGAACGAGTATTAGTAAAATTAAGGGAAATAGTATGGAAGTTCTTTAGAAAAATTAAAAATGGATCTACTATATAAGCCAACAATTCCACTTCTGGATACATATCCAAAGGAATTAAAAATAGGTATATGAGAGAAACATACGCACTCCAAGTTCAGTGCTCCATTTTTTTTTTTCCTTCTGGTACTGGGGATTGAACTTGGGACCTTACACTTCTGAGGCAGGCATGGCTCCACTGAGCTAAATCCCCAGCCATCATTGCTCCATTATTAATACCCAAGACAGGAAGTCAACTTGTATCCATCAAAGGATGAATGGATACCCGGGATGTGGTACATGTCTACAAAAGAATGCTATTCAGCCTTAAAAAAAGAAGGAAAAGACTGTCATTTGCAGCACTATGAATGAATCCAAAGAATACTATGTTTAGTAAAATAAACCAGGCACAAAAAGAAAAATGCCACATCATCTCATTCATAAAGATGCAAAATCTAAATAACCAGACTCAAAGAAGCAGAGTAGAATGGTGGTTGCAGGGCAAGAAAACAGGGAGATGTTGGTGCAAGAGTATAAAGTTGGTTTAGCCAGGAGAAATAAGTATGGAGATCTGTTGTGTAACATGATGACTACAATAAATAATAATGTATTATATATGTGAACAATTTTAACAGAGATTTTAAATGTTCTTACCACATGGAAATGATGAGCATCTGACAGGTATGTTACTTAGCTCGATTTAATCTTTCCACAATGTGTACATATATCAAAACATCATGTTGTATCACATAAATATATAGTTTCTTATTTGACAATTAAAATTTTTGGTTCTAGAGTAAACCCAAACTTCCTCATTTTCCGGTCATTCTTCTATGGGTAATTTTTCATGATTCTTGTGAGAAATGACAGTTAATAAGTCACTTAGCAATGTGGTAGACACCTTGTAAGCATTCTAGAAATGCTACCTCTTATTAAATTTATTGAACTAATAGAGTGATACTTATTTTCTATGGGTAATACCTACCACATAGGCATTGTGTGTGGATTATATAAAATAATTAATGAAACTCACTTTGTTAGCTGTCTTTATAATTATTCAGGTTAAATATAAAATAATACTTAGGAGAATACTATTTCATTAAACAGAAATGCTTCTCTCAAATATTTATGTGTACAGATTAGACAGAGTACCTATGTATTTGAAATAAAATCACTGCAAACTGACAGTACTGGAGAGCACACACAATTTCAATTACTTGATTACAAAGTTAATTTTAAAAAAGCAAAATTACACATTTGTTAGTTTGTTACATAAATGTTAGAATTAGATCTAAATGTCCCCCAAAAGCCTTCTATACAGAGGTGGTTATTGGAATCATGATGGATCATGAGGGCTCTAACTCCGCAAGTGGGTGAATGTATTGATCAGTACAGTGATAAATCTGTCTTTTCTTGTTGCTGAGACAAAATACCCAACATTCACAAATTAAAGGAAGAAAATATTATTTTAGCTCACAGTGTGTACAGGTTTCAGTCCTTAGTGGGCTGGCTCCAAGGCAGGGTAGCATGGCAGAGGGGTGTTCTAAAAGCGAAACAGTCCATGGCATGGCAAGCAGGAAACAGCAAGCTTCCGGACTTTTATCCCATCCAGGCTACAAGCCTACCGATGATGTCACCCACACCCAGGGTGGGCCTTTCCATTATCCACACCTACAACTATGCTACAGCAATCAGTGGACTAATTTAGTTATCACACCCTTAATTCATGTCGAATTGATCCAGCTACCCCTGAAAAGCCCCACCTAGGAGTGCATTAGGCTTTTGGGGAAACATCTAGACACAAGCCAAAACAGCAGACATCATTTGATGGCATTACTAGGAAGTAAAAGTGGGTCACAGAGGCATGATGTTGACTATATTTTCTCCCTGATTTGTTCCTTCTTGGCTCTATTTGTTTTTCAGCTGTTGTGAGGTGAGCAGCTTCACTCTAGAATGCACTTCCGCCACGACGCTCTGCCTCACCACAGGCCCATGGAGCAGTGAACCATGGACCAGTGACTGCGGACCACGGACCACGAACTTCTGCAGCTACGAATGAAAATAAACCTTCCCATCTTTAAACCCTGTTTTGTTTTTGTTTTTTTTTTTTTGGTACCAGGGATTGAACTCGGGTCCTTGCACTTGCAAAGCAGGCCACCGAACCACTGAGCTAAATCCCCAGCTTTAAACTGTTTATAAGCTGACACAGATAGATGAGGCAATGTGGTTAAGAGTAGGGGCTCTGGTTATACTGTTAAGTGTGAATCCCTACTCTAATCCCTAGTATTTATTAGTTGAATAAACTTTGACACGTTACTTAATCTCATTCTGTCTCAATTTTTTCATCTGAAAAATAAAAAAGGGTATAATGAACAACATCTAGAAATCTTGGGTTGTTGTGAGACTAAATCAGATAAAGCCTGAAATATATTTAGCACCATTCCTAGAAAAGAGCACATGTTCAATAAATATTTTTATCCACCAGTAACTTTCTATGAAGTACCTGGCCTATAATGTAAAGGCCAACCGCACTGATCAACAAAAGCAGTAATAATAAATGTTGAGGGAGAAACTAGGATGGAGCTACTTCAGTTGGAGATACTCATTTTTAGGATACTTAGAATCAATTTTATATAAAATGTTTTCACTTTTACAAAACAATATATTTACTTATAGGAAGAAAATTGGTATGCATATAAGAAAGTGACTCAAGAACTGTCCTGTGACATAGACAATTTAAGATTTCTAACAATAGCATGGAGGACTCATGCTTCAGTAGGTCAATGTTTCCATTATAACAACTTTTTAAACTGAATAAACTACAAAAATCTCTTGTCTGAAGATAGTGACAATCTACAGAAGCAATGTGTATTTGACGAATTAAAATTCAAGAGAAGAAAGAGGCCTTACGGACAAGCTGACTGTTTAGTAGGGGAGCCAACTGTCCCCAACTGAGTCCTTGTCCTGTAGGCCAAACAATGCTGTCACGGACAACGCTCTCAACATATTAAGATTTAGGATACTTATAAATATTACAATTTACTCCTTCTAGCATTTTATTGGCTATAATTAAAATTTTAAATCTAGGCAACAAAAAGCAAAATTGTGTGTTTTAAACAGTTTAAAGAAGTAAGAGAAAACTTACTGATATGATTTTCTAGTCCTGCTTCTAATTTCTTAAGCCACAATGCAAGGTTTTGTTCAGTTATAGGCTTGTCTGAAGGAAATGCAAACACTTGACCATCTGAATGCTGATTCACCAAAACCAGAAGAGGAAGGGGAGGCAGAAGGCCAAAATATGCCTGCAAGATTCCTCTCCCCACAGGAGTATTCTTGCTACGAGAGGAAACAAATTGGACATATTAATTAGTAGATCTTTCTCTAACTAAACAATGAAAATAAGAGTTTATGGAACATTGAACTTTCAGTAAGTTTCATGTCAATACATTTGATATCAAAAGACATTCCCCAAAAACTCTACGACTATATTGTTAGTAAGCAGATTCTTAAAAACTTTTTTAATATGGGCATTCTTTGTCCTAGGAGAAAACAAGGCAGCCCCTAGCTGTTTCTATGAATAGTATACATAGCCCAAAGGGTTCTCAACACAAATCTGAGACAAGCAATTGGTTCCTTCCAAAGCTTAACAAAGTATCTGTTCACATGTCAACTCAAAAACTAACTGGTTATATACCTATCATAAGATTTATAAATACTTCTTTTCCAGGCTGGGGATTTAGCTCAGCGGTTCGGTGGCCTGCCTTGTAAGCATAAGGACCCGAGTTCAATCCCCAGTACCAAAAAAATAAATAAATAAATACTTCTTTTCCACTTTATGAACAAATCCTCAGTAGCACGGGAACTAGCAGAAAGAATCAACAACTGGGATCTCATCTTACTAAAAAGCTTCTGTACTTCAAAAGAAACCATTAGCAGAACTAAGAGACAATCTACAATGTGGGAAAAAATTTTTACCAGCTGTACCTCAGACAAAGGACTATTATCAAGGATATATAAAGAACTCAAAACAATCAGTCCCCCCAAATATAAAGACCCGATCCAAAAATGGGCATCCGAAATGAACAGACATTTCTCATACAAAGAAGTAAAAGCAGCAAGAAAATATATGAAAAAATGTTCCACATCACTGGTCATTCGAGAGATGCAGATGAAAACAACACTGAGATTCCACCTCACCCCACAAAGAATGGCTGCTATCAAGAAATCACACAATAACAAATGTTGGCGGGGTTGTGGGGAGAAAGGAACCCTCCTCCATTGTTGGTGGGAGTGCAGACTAGTGCAACCACTATGGAAATCAATATGGAGATACCTCAAAGAGCTTGGACTGGAGGTGCCATTTGACCCAGCCATCCCTCTGTTGGGTATCTTTCCAAGAGAACTAAAAGAATCATATCACAGAGAAGTATGCGCACCCATGTTTATAGCGGCACAGTTTGTAATAGCTAAATCTTGGAAACAACCTATTTGCCCATCCGTTGGAAACTGGATAAAGAAGTTGTGGTTTTTCTATAAAATGGAATATTACTCAGCCATAAAGAGCGAGAGAATAGATTCATTCATAGGAAAATGGATACATATTGAAGATATACTCCTAAGTGAAATAAATAAGTCCCACATGTGTAAATACCAAATAGTTTCCCTGGTGTGAATATTCTGCAACAATGCATAAGATTCTAATAAGATTACTGACATTTAGAAATGGGAGGAAAGGAGCTAAAGGTGTAGGGAAGGTGTGATACGTAGGGGAAGAACAAAAAGGGAAAAGAAAAAAATGTGAGAGAATGAAAAGATGAAAATAAAGTGTTTGTAGATGGGGAGGGGAGGAGGGGGTGAAGGGAGGGCAGAGGTAAGGGAAAAAAATGAGAATCAAGACTTGCCATGTAAAGGTACATGATCCCAACAATGAATGTAACTGTACTGTATCCCTAAATGTACCAATAAACTCAAAAAAAAAAAAATACTTCTTTTCCAAATGAAGGTGTACCTTTTCTCAGGAAAAAGAAGAGATTCTTGTCAAATTAAAGAAATGAAAAATAATTATGTTCCTACAAAGAAACCAATTAAAGATACCTAGTTTTCCTAATGTAGCACATTTTACATTACACAAAATACCACTATTAGATAACTTACAAATGATGATTACCTTAGAAAACTATGCCTCAAGCAATAAGGTGTACTGTTAATAAAACTTCAAGCAAACTACATACTACCCTATTTTTGTAATTTTCAAAAATCAGAAAAATTACTGCTTTTAAATTTTTCTGTAGAATAAGATGCAATCCAAAAAAAGGTCATCTTGGACTTTTTCTGTAGGAATTTAGTTACTAAAATATGATAACATATTTAGTTTCTTATTAACTCCTAACATAGAATTACAGTTTCATTTCCTAACAAAAATATAATAATTACATGTTGCCGGCCTCTTACATATGAGAAATAAGTAAAACAGACTTACAGATTTAGCCAGCAAGGAGTAAATGAATCCAAGAGTTTCTGTGCCAGTAGTGTTAATATTGCTTTTCTATGCTGAGGATTTATGCTGCCATCACTGAACAAAATAAGTAACGGCTTCTGAGGTCTGAAATAAGTGGGAAGATTTTCCACCGTGATTTCTGGCTGTTTTAAGAGAAGAACCAAACCAAACCAAACCAAACCAAACCAAACAAACAAACAAACAAAAAAGACAACAAAAAATTAAAAACATGGAAATTATAATGTACAAAGCAGCAAACAACATTCAAATCATGCCTACAATTTGAGTCTGTAAAATGTAATTCAAACATTTCCATTTAAGTAGAGATTTACCGTGCTAATAACTATAAATCTCAAGAATTTCTTACTCAATCCCACCTCATCTTAATGAGTTTTTGAAGTAATACTCTGAGAAAAAATTAATGTTCCTAATTTCTTATCCTAAAATCTAGACCAGATTAGCAAACATACACATGACAAACAAAAACTCTTGTTAATGTACCAGGGATTTGGCTCAGTGGTTCTGCGGCCTGCCTTGCAAGCACAAGGGCCCGAGTTCGATCCCCAGCACCAAAAAAAACAAAAACAAAAACAAAAACTTATTATATGTTTATTCTAATAAAATCTGAGTAAAAATATAAGCAGATTTTTTAAATGTAATTTTTCTTTTAATACTTCTATGATTACTTACAAATTAATTAAATTTTACTTTTTCCAACATTGTGGATAAGTTGGAATAATTAAAAATAAAAACATATTAAAGCAAATCCAAAAGCCAATCTCATTTCTTCTGAGAATAACTGAAAGAAATTTAACAAGGAATTAGAAATCTAATCTTTTTATCATTTTATTATTAATAAAAATATAGTAACCATTAAAAAATATATCTGTAGGAGACAATCTGTCTAGGCTATTAGTTCTAAGAATCAGAAAGAGCAAAAGAAAGTAATATATTTAGGATTTAAAACAGCAATGACATAATAGCACAGCCGACTATTTTCCAATTTAGTTCTATACCTATTATTTCATCCTGTGGCTATACCTGTGAGATAACAAATCATCCCCTAGCAGATTTTTTTTAAAAAGCCCTAGCTATCAAATGAAGAAATGCACAGACAGGGTGACTTGCTAAAAAATAAGGTAAGGGAAATCATGGGTCATTCTGGGAAGTGACATTTGAGCTGGGCCTTGTATAAAGAATATGATCTTTCCAGATGGAGGTATGAACCTGACCAGGGCTCTCAGATATGGAGAATATCGTGACCACAGGTAGAGAGCTGTTCAGACACACAGTATACCTGGGATCAATACAATATACTTAGAAACACAAGAGGCAAATACGGCTGGGAGACCAGATGGGTAAGACTCTGACAGCCTCACTAGCTTGTGGGAATATGGACAAGACTTTTGTGTCACACTGGTGACATGGGTAGCACTGTTTTCAGAAAGATAACTAGCTGAAACATGAATTCGTAAAAGATCAGTGGTGGACACTGCTCATTCCTGTATCTGTCAGAAAAGTAAGGACCTTGAGCTTGTGAGGCAAGTGTCAGAACCACTGAGCTAAATCCCCAGGCCCATAGTAAACAATTTAGAAAACTACATCCTGAAAATATTAATACAACACGCAAATCTGGGGCATGGGCTAGAAAAGCTGGCCATATCATCAATGAACAGCCAACCAGAGCAACCCCAAAAATCTTCACCCACGAATTGTGACGGATTCCCTGTGCCACTAAAGGCTGAAAACCTGTGTACTAGTTGATTAAAGTTTTGTTTCAAATTAACAACCTTTTTTATGAACCGTACTCACAAATGTCTCCTGTAACACATCTGTCACTATCTGCACTATGCCTCGCACGGAGATGCCAGCTAGTGGAATGTTCTCTATCTTGCCCTCTTTGTGTCTGGCAAGCAGCAGGGCTGGAAGAGGTGCAGCGTATTTATTTGCCCTATGGAGAAATGTAGGGTTAAAATTCACAACCAAAACAGAGCAAGTCATCAGAAACATGAAAAATTAGGCCAAAAAATCATAGCATCTGAAAAGCCCTACTGCTAGCAGAAAAAAATTAACTCGCTTTCCAGGCAAATTTAACTTCTATGTAAAGCTGAGAAAGTTGAGGAGCCTTGACAACCTCAAATAGAGGAAAGCAATAGAAAACAGTCTAGACAGATTTTATTCTCTCCTGCAACTCACTCATCAAGAATGTGTCTAAAGAGGATTTGGAACACAATGAACAACTCTAAGATCAACCTTTTTGGAGTTAAGAAGATGGACACCTAGGAGAAACTCTAACTGCCAGGTAATATACTAGCCGTCTTAGTTATGCTTCCTCTAACCCTCAGAACATCCCTATAAAGCAGCCTCCACTGTTCCATTTTATAGATGAAGAAACAGTTCTGAATTCAGATGAGGTGGTCCAGACTCAAAGATAAGAGTCCACTTCTACCCTCCCACTACTGTTGTTAATTAAATCTCAAACAAAATGCCTTGAATTAAATAGGAAAAAAGTGCTTTGTATGAAATTGCCAACGAAGTGGTGACGTGTTAAAAACTTTGCTTCCACCAGAACAGAGCATTGGCATTAAAATGTTATAAGGGTCAGCAGTGAGCCCAATCTTTATATCACCTAGAGGAGTCTCTTAGTTGGGCAGTTGGTTATAAACAAAATGCTCTGAAATCTACCAGTCTGGCTCTTTGGACCATAGTAAAATACACAATGAACAGAGAAAATAATAGGTGATTATACATTCTCAAATGGCTAGATCTCATATTTACAAGTTTAGTATGCACTTTTCAAAAATGACTGATTTCACCAAATGAACAAAAGCCTCATCATCAAGAGCAGTGTTCAAGGTGAGAGATTTCAAGTCAGAAATGACAATTAGGAATATAATAGTCAGAAGGTAAGAAAAACTCCTGATTAACAAGTCCACTTGCATGTGAAAATGAGCCTCTCACACAGAATGTTTTATATATCAACCAGTCTCCAAACTTGCAGCCCAGTCCTTCACTCTGCAGCAATTAAAGTATTCTGGTACTCGCAGGCACCCCGTCTTCCACATAGCAGCTTAAGTTGCTTAAAAAGGGCTGAGTTTTGTAAAAATATGCTTTGGTAACAGATATAAACTGCGATGCTTAAGAAATAAAACGTGCTTGCCTGAGATTTAGCTCAAGCAGTTCCGCCACAAGCCTTGCAAGTGCGAGGACCCAAATTTGATCCCCAGTACCAAAAAAAAAAAAAGAAAATTTTCAAAAACTATCACAGCACTAACTACATATAATAGAACCAAAGAGGAACATTTTTATAAGAGAATGAAGAACTATGAATCCAAGATTATCCCTACAGGTACTTTGGCCCAAAATGAAAGGATATTTTAAAGAAACTGAAATTAAGCCAGGCATGGTAGCACACACCTATACTCCCAGCACTCAGGAGGCTGAGGCAGGAGGACCACTGTGAGTTCGAGCCCAGCCTGGGCTACACAGTGAGTTCCAGGTCAGTCTCAACTACATAGTGAGACCCTGTCTCAAAAAACAAAACAAAACAAAACAAACAAAATTAAAATTAGCACTTTTCAGATCTTCCTAAAAGGAAATTAAACATTTATGTTGTAGTTCTTTCTAAATAAGCTATAAAGACAATCCACACATTATAGTGCTTAGCTTCTTCCTCCTTCAAATTAGAAGAGCAATAAACTTACAGTATCCAAACATCTTCTTCGGAATAAATTCCAGTGAGGACACACCCTTTTAAGTAGTTTCCTGCTTTAGTGAAATCTTCTTTTGCTATAAATACACAAAAATGACAAACTCTGAAGCCATTAATTATCAACTGATGAAAAGATTTATGGATGGCAGAACTTTGTTATTATTTAATTACAAAGATAAACATTTAGGTATAGACACAATATATTACGGTCTGAACAATTCCAAAATATAAGTTTTATGACACCAGATTATGAAAGAAATGTAAACTGATATAATAAGGCTTCCTAGATAAATGTGATTTATAAAAGTGATTTATAAAGTTTACAGCACTCTAGACATATAGTGACTAAATATTTGTTGTTTTTTAATTTACTCCTTAGGAAGGGTAAATAGAGACAGCTGTAAAATGCTATACATTAATGTTACAAAATGTAAAATTACCTATATGCAAAAAAGGAAAAAAAAAGACCAAATATTCTAATCTTTTAAACAGTGTTCGTGTTAGGTTCTTCAATTATGCAGAACTTGTGTCTTATTTTTTGTAATGTATTTTTGTTACTTCTGAACTGTGACTAACACATGGATCCATCCTCTTCCTTTGTTATGATACACATATTCAAAATTAAAGCTATTATTTCTGTAGCTTGCTGAATACAGTATATTTTCATGAATGGCAGCTCACCGTAGGTCATGTTAATGACTATCTTATAATCGAGAAGCAAATTCAAATTAAATCACTGTAGATCAATGAGAAAAGAGCAGAGGTGGATTTACAAGTAAATAAAGTAGTCTTGCACATGAAGGCCAGCTGGGAGCTCAGCTCCAAGCATGAGATGAACAGCAGCTCAAGCGGAAAAACATCGATGAAAGAAGTCAGCCTTAGAGCAGCACAGCGAGGCTGCAGCCCAGCCAGCCAGCAGCACTGTACGTGGTGCGGCATCATCACCGTCTTCATCAGGTGACCACAAGGTCTCACCTTTGAAAGGGAGTTCACTTTCCACAGGTTTAAGCAGCACGGTCTAAAGGAAAGCAAGCTTCGCAGAGTGACTGAGTCAGCCCACAGGCAGCATCTGAGCTCATGTATAATTGTAGATTTAATGAGAAACTGATAACCCCTTAAAAATATTTTTAGCCTGTGATTACCAAAGTAGAAAAGCAATAAATAAAACAAGCAACTAAGAAAGAACAGAATGCCTACACTTTCACTCCTAAGAAAAAACAGAGCTAAATTCTAAATCAATGACATAATGGAATGTGTCTTAGCTTCTCTTCTTTTTTGATAAGCAGCAGTGGAAAAAAATACAAATATTCTTGTACAAATTCCTCATATGGAAGCCTCTCTGCTCATGAATACGCTTCTTCATGAATCCCCTCGAGTATTTCCTCAGTGACTCGTGGGGTGGGAAAGTGCAATGCCTCAGGCTTCACGTGTACACTCGTTTCCACCACATCAGTGTGCATTTTCCTCCAAACATTCAAAACTAGGCAAGTTCTTCACCTGCATGGTAAAAACTGTGTATTGGGAGAATATATTACAACCTCAAATAAAAGAACTCAATTATCTAAATAAAGACATGATTTTTTGCTTCTATAAATATATTTGGGATGGATATAAATGATGACACAGTGCCAGCTACTCAGGAGCCTGAGGCAGGAGGGGTTACTTCAGCCAGCTAGCTTAGAACTAGCCTGGGTGACATGATGAGACTGTTCCTGCCTCTCCCCTGCCCTATTTCCAAGCAAAAACAAAAAAGGGACTAGATAGAGCACCTGCCTAGCATGTACAGGCCCTGTGTTCAATCCCCAGCAAAAAAATTTAAAAATTAACCATAAATATGGAATCACATACATATGTTCATTTAGCAATACTGCATTTCCACCATCACGTATAATAATGCATTTATACTCACATGTGTGTATATGTGACAATTCTTTGTCAGCAGAGAATTGAGGAACAAAACATACCAGTAACTAAAAGTACTCTTAAGCCCTAGATTTTGATTTCCAAATTCAATTTCCTACTAAAAGCAACCTGGACTTCTTGGAGAAATGGCTGATTCCTGGAAAATGGCTGAAAAGATCTTATACCAAGAGAACAAATTTAAAGAATAGTGGAAATATGTCAAAAAGACACACAAATCAGACTGAATAGACTCCCAGGGACCCAGTCAGGAGCAACTTGAGTTAAATAATGGTAACAAGTGACTGTAACCCAATGAAGAAAATAAGCAGCCATGCCACCCATGTGGCGCATGCCTGTAATCCCAGCACTCTGGGAGGCTGAGGCAGGAGGATCACAAGTCTGAGCCCAGCCTGAATAATTTAATTACTTGGGAATAAGTTGTTTAAAAATAAAAAAAATGAACTTTGAAAGAGGTAGGGAGGGCCAGGGATTTAGCTCAGTGGTTTCGGCACCTGCTTCGCAAGTGCAAAGACCCGAGTTCAATCCCCGGTACCAAAAAAACAGCTAGGGATGTCACTCAATATGAAGGCCCCCCAAAAAAATAATATCTAAAGAATTAAAAATTCAATAATCTATAACTGATAAACAGGAGAAAAATTGTTTTATAGTTAAGACACCAACTGATAAATGAAGAAGGAACAGTGAAATTAGAAAATAAATCTAGTTGGTAGCTGTTACGGTTTATATCCAGATGTCTTCCACCAGGCATCAGAGGCAGGGACTGCCCAAAGATGAATGGGTTATGGGGGTGCTACAGCTGGCCTGGTCAGAAGGTGGTGACATGGGTTATTGGGGTGACATGGTGGGGCTCATCTCCCTCCCTGGCTCTTCCCTTACAGCTCTGCTTTCTGGCTGCCACGAGGTGAGCAGCCTTCCTCCACCCGACCTTTCCAGCACGCTGCCAACCATGCAAGGACTGAAACTTCTAAAATATTAGCACAGATAAGTCTCTCCTCCAAGTTGTGGGAGTCAGATATTTTGTCTCAGGGATCAGGAAAGTGACAAAGACTGCATCCATAACAGTAATAGCTTTTTTCAGGCAATGGATTCTAAAACTGGCTTGTAGAATAGAAGTATGAGAACAAACAGCACTTTTACAGTTTTAAATTCTGTCCCACAGGATACTTATTAATTACAATGGAAAAAAATAGTAACTTTCTAGCAGATACAAGTAGAAGAGATATCTCTGCCCTCTTGGACCTCACACTATAAATCTTCACACAATTAGAATGAATCTAAATGAGTAATAAATCAATATCTGATACAAAACTAGTGCTCAATAAATGTTAGTAGTTAGCTTGTATTAGTAAAACAGCTTTATAAAAAGTGCTACTGAACTCGTCCTAGCCTTTCATCATTATACAGTCTCTCATTTAACAGATGTTGCAAGTCCAACTACCATCAGGCAAATGTCTGCCAAAAAAATAAAAACAAACCTCAAAGAAGTAAAAAGGAATAAGCACCTTCCTGAAAAAGCTTAGAAGAATCAATCCAATGAAATTATTAAAAAAGAATCATATCCAGAGCATGTCACTTTGACATGCCAGAACTACTACATAATTCAATCTTATGCTTTTGAGTAGAAATATGATGAAGATTCCTGTTTCTTATACCGATCTCCTATATAAAAAAATAGTATGAAAACTTCCTTCCATTATTTACAAATTAGGAAAACACTTTCTTTGTAGAGTTCTAACTTGTATGTTACATTTATTATAAAATGATGATAAGACAGAAAAAATTTCATCTTTCTGTTTCTACTTCGTACCAGATTACTTCTGGCTAAATTTTGACCAACTACTGTATTTTCTGGACTTCCTACATAACCATCTCCTACAGTTTTATTGCACTAATTCTTATCCTTGTTTCAATGGTTTTATTGTATTTGTGCTTTTTATTGTCTCAAGACTTAAATTCTTCTTGGAAGGGGGGCCTAGTGTAAATAATAAATGAGAGCTTCAGAGCCCCCAGTACATAAAGTACGTAGATGGCAGAGTCAACAGTAGGTGCAAGAACATTAAAAAGAGAAGAATTAAGACACATACTCACTGACTTCATCATTTTTTATAAAAAGAATGCACATTACAAAGCTATGCCCTCTAAGATTCTGCTAAGATGGTAAGCCACTTCTTTTTAATAAGTTCCTTTGGCTTTTAACATTTTTTTAAAGCAACATAAATACTAAACATAAATTGGTAGAAAGCAAAATTTAATAATCAGGTAACAGTATGTACAATGCACAAATATAATTCAAGATGAGGTGGGGGAAAGATGGGGGGGTCCCTTCTTCCCCTAAAGTATTCTTAAGCTATTTCATTCAGAATTTTAAATTTATCTCAAAGGAAAGAAAAATGAGAAGGGGGAAGTTTGCTAAATAAATGGTCAGAGTTAGCACAGTGTTGGGTTTTGTCACCCAGCCAAGAGACCACCATGTTCAAAGGCAACAAGTAATAGTCTCAAAATTAGTAATGGTCAGAAAAAAACACCTTTCATGTACTTTTGCTTGAAAATTAACTGAAAGACACATTTCTATGAAGCAAGAGATAGAGAAAGAGCGTAAGGACAGAGAAGTTGTGATGCTTAAAAAAAATAGTAGTTTATGATGCTACGGAAAACTATTAAAGAAAAATAATTGCCATGAGCACTGTGTCAAAATTGAATGCATTGGTGCCTCCTTGCAAGCAGGGACCTGAGTTTGATCCCCAGTACAAAAGAAAACTGAATGCAAATACATTAACCTGAAATTCACTAAAAATAATATAAATTCAGAGAAGGACAGAGGTACAGGCATGACCAGAAGACAGAGTCACAGACGGACTACAGTACAGGAGTATACAGCACTGGGGAGATAGGTAAGTGCTGATTCTACAGATGTTTACTGAAAAATTCTTTTAACTTTGCTGCATGTTTAAAATGTTGGAAATACAAGATTTTTGAAAGGGAAATGTACTATGGAGAAAACAAAAAAGAGCAACCATAAAAGTTCATATAGAGAAAAAAAAAACCCACAAAAGAAATTTAAAATATCTTTGTCTTTCAAGAAAAGAGAGACAAAAAATCATTGAAATGGTCTTTGATTTTATAGGATCAGGTACATTTTTAACGAACACTCCCAGCCCTATAGAAAATACAAGAAGCATACTCTATACAGAAAATAATTATAATAAATAAAAACCTAAACATACACTAGTAAAACAAAATAAGCAGCAGGCATCCAGTGAGTTAAGATCATAAATATAATTGGCTAATATTCATCTGGAAAAAAAGAAAGGTTAAAAAAAGGGTAAAAAACTAGTAGTTTTAAAACATGGCAATAGTGAAGTCATAGACAAGTATAGAAAAAATTATTATTAACTATTTAGAAAACATTAAGTTGGTCTCTAACCTCATACATCATGTGCTAAAATATCTAAATGTTTAAAATCTTTTTAAAAATAAAAACTATTGCCGGGGATTTAGCTCAGCGGTTCGGTGGCCTGCCTTGCAAGCACAAGGACCAGAGTTCAATTCCCGGTACCAAAAAAACTATATATCAAAGGACACAGTAAAAAGGCAAACTACAGAATGGAAGAAAATGTTTGCAAAGCAAACATCTGATGAATATCCAGAATATATAAGAAACTTCCGTAACTCAACAACAAAAAATACAAATAATCCAATTTTTCCAAAAAAAAAAAAAAAATGAGAGGGTTGGGGATTTAGCTCAGCAGTTCAGTGGCCTGCCTTGCAAGCACAAGGACGAGTTCAATCCC